ATACCCTGCGACACAACCAAGCGGTACAAACCATCACCAGAACACTGTCCAGAGGGGCCCATGGCGGCTGCTTCATCGTCATGGACGCCTGCAGCATGGAGGACAAGCCGGACTACGTGGCCGGCACACGCCTGCCCAAGTGGCTGCTTCCCAACATCCCCGACGAAGATCGGTCCAAAAAGCGCCCTGACCTGCTGCTTATCCCCAGCATACCCCTCAGCGACACATGCTCACCGAAATACATGGGACCAGATGACCCCAGCGAGCACACTGTACACATAATCGAAGTAGGCTACACAGCCGACACAAATCACACACAGAAACAAAACGACAAGGCCCATCAACACGCGGAACTAGCTCAGATGCTGACGGCGCACGGATGGAAAGTATGTTACACGAAACAGGAAGCAATTAGCCTGGGCTTCGCCGGCACCATCCGCAAAGACCTGCGACAACTGCTGACCTCACTGGGAACGAGCAACGAAGCGGCCAAAAAATGCTGCAACGACCTCCACGACCACGCTGTCCGAGCGTTGAACGCAATTGTCGCTGCCAGGAGGCAACTGGAGCGGGACCCCCGCCAACAGAGCACAACCAGCGCCGACCCGCCCTAACCCGCCGCAACGGCGGGCTCCCAATCTCACCGCGGTAGCGGGAGAGGCCTGGGATCGGGGCAACCCGACACCCCACCCCTCCTGCTCCCATAACCCACGCCTCGGCTCTGTCGGGCGTATTATTATTATTATTATTATTATTATTACATCTAGCTGTCGCGCTTGTATTCACAACTAGCTCCCTGACGACGAGCCGGTTCTACATCGTCAGGTCGCAAGGACCGGCCTCACGGGTGGCGCACCCGCTGCTGTGACTTGTAACACCAAATGCTGTGTTACTGAACGCTCGCTCACTCGCTCGCTGCTGCTGCTACGATACGCACGCTGATCTGATCGACCACTCCGACACCTCCTCTCATCGCCGCGCCATTGCAAACGCGTCGGGCACGTCTGGCCCCGGCACCACACCATAGTTGCTCAGGGCAGCACGCGTTCTGCCAGTTACGCAGTGTGTCGTGACATGGCTTTGGGTTTGAACCCTGAAACCGAAACCCTGCAGGCACATTCCACCACCAGGTCACAGAATCCCTGTGTACGTGATGAACCCTATGCATGCATACACAGGCGCCTGTTTTCCAGCCTGTTTTCCAGCTATATGCATCGATAACATGCACCCTCGTCCTTGGTAGCATGAAAACTTGTTGGCCCTCATCAGTATCGAACTGATAACCTTGGCGTTATTAGCACCACGCTCTAACCAACTGAGCTAGAAGGCCTGGCACCTGTCAGCTGCCATGCAGTCGCGTTGACTGGGGTCTGGAACCCTACTGGTGTGAGGCAAGAACGAACATCATGGTACAAGCGTCCTGAGATAGATGGACCGACTGCGGGCATAAAAGTCTTATCTGACTACTCCCAATCTATCGGAGGGTGACGCCTTGTCCATTAGGCCACTCGGCCATCACGCAGTATGATGCTATGATGAGCGACCAAGATGGGACTCGAACCCACAATCTTCACGTAAATCCCGGGAGCGCAGCTATATCTCACTAAAAGATGACCTTGTAAAGTGTTCAAGGCATCCATATCGGATATCCAGCTCCTTCAATCATTCACACAGTGCCTGTTGCAGCAACCGTATTAGTGCCCTCACACATGCTGCCATGCATGTATGATTACCTGCTGACTGGGCTTGTTCATGGTGATGATCAGGTCCAGCTCCATCATGACAACAGAAGGGAAACGAATCATCATCAGGGATTTATGCTTGACACATGCAGTGCGTGGTTCTGGTAGGTGATGCAGATGCTGCTGGATGGAGTTGTGGCGGATGTTACAAAACTCTGGAACAAAAGAATCAGCTGGCCCGCAGCTGGCCATGCATATGCTGCATTGGGACAAAGCAGAGCAAACGGGAAGCACATCCAGAGTGGAAGACACAAGCCACCCATCAGACCGAATTGGACGAGTGCAGGACAAACGTGTGGTCATCGCAGCTTCCCCTACCTGCTGGTGAAGTAGGGAAAGCAGTGCTTTTAGCTACCACTGCAGCCAAATTCAGAACAGTTGTGACAGATCACCAAAGTGAGACAGAGGTCTTTCGGATGGTTTCTTAAATCTTCCAGCCAGAACCTTGCTGAGCACAAGGTCTGCATGCACGCACGGAAGGCAGGATAGCTCAGCATGTGCAGTTCGACTGCAGCCTGCTGGCTGTGGAAGGAGCGAGTAACCCCCCACATATACGTACATATGCGTGCATACGTAACTGGCCAGCCACGTGGCTTTGGGTTTGAACCCTGAAACCGAAACCCTGCAGGCACATTCCACCACCAGGTCACAGAATCCCTGTGTACGTGATGAACCCTATGCATGCATACACAGGCGCCTATTTTCCAGCATTCCTATATGCATCGATAACATGCACCCTCGTCCTTGGTAGCATGAAAACTTGTTGGCCCTCATCAGTATCGAACTGATAACCTTGGCGTTATTAGCACCACGCTCTAACCAACTGAGCTAGAAGGCCTGGCACCTGTCAGCTGCCATGCAGTCGCGTTGACTGGGGTCTGGAACCCTACTGGTGTGAGGCAAGAACGAACATCATGGTACAAGCGTCCTGAGATAGATGGACCGACTGCGGGCATAAAAGTCTTATCTGACTACTCCCAATCTATCGGAGGGTGACGCCTTGTCCATTAGGCCACTCGGCCATCACGCAGTATGATGCTGTGATGAGCGACCAAGATGGGACTCGAACCCACAATCTTCACCTAAATCCCGGGAGCGCAGCTATATCTCACTAAAAGATGACCTTGTAAAGTGTTCAAGGCATCCATATCGGATATCCAGCTCCTTCAATCATTCACACAGTGCCTGTTGCAGCAACCGTATTAGTGCCCTCACACATGCTGCCATGCATGTATGATTACCTGCTGACTGGGCTTGTTCATGGTGATGATCAGGTCCAGCTCCATCATGACAACAGAAGGGAAACGAATCATCATCAGGGATTTATGCTTGACACATGCAGTGCGTGGTTCTGTTAGGTGATGCAGATGCTGCTGGATGGAGTTGTGGCGGATGTTACAAAACTCTGGAACAAAAGAATCAGCTGGCCCGCAGCTGGCCATGCATATGCTGCATTGGGACAAAGCAGAGCAAACGGGAAGTACATCCAGAGTGGAAGACACAAGCCACCCATCAGACAGAATTGGACGAGTGCAGGACAAACGTGTGGTCATCGCAGCTTCCCCTACCTGCTGGTGAAGTAGGGAAAGCAGTTTTAGCTACCACTGCAGCCAAATTCAGAACAGTTGTGACAGATCACCAAAGTGAGACAGAGGTCTTTCGGATGGTTTCTTAAATCTTCCAGCCAGAACCTTGCTGAGCACAAGGTCTGCATGCACGCACGGAAGGCAGGATAGCTCAGCATGTGCAGTTCGACTGCAGCCTGCTGGCTGTGGAAGGAGCGAGTAACCCCCCACATATACGTACATATGCGTGCATACGTAACTGGCCAGCCACGTGGCTTTGGGTTTGAACCCTGAAACCGAAACCCTGCAGGCACATTCCACCACCAGGTCACAGAATCCCTGTGTACGTGATGAACCCTATGCATGCATACACAGGCGCCTATTTTCCAGCATTCCTATATGCATCGATAACATGCACCCTCGTCCTTGGTAGCATGAGAACTTGTTGGCCCTCATCAGTATCGAACTGATAACCTTGGCGTTATTAGCACCACGCTCTAACCAACTGAGCTAGAAGGCCTGGCACCTGTCAGCTGCCATGCAGTCGCGATGACTGGGGTCTGGAACCCTACTGGTGTGAGGCAAGAACGAACATCATGGTACAAGCGTCCTGAGATAGATGGACCGACTGCGGGCATAAAAGTCTTATCTGACTACTCCCAATCTATCGGAGGGTGACGCCTTGTCCATTAGGCCACTCGGCCATCACGCAGTATGATGCTGTGATGAGCGACCAAGATGGGACTCGAACCCACAATCTTCACCTAAATCCCGGGAGCGCAGCTATATCTCACTAAAAGATGACCTTGTAAAGTGTTCAAGGCATCCATATCGGATATCCAGCTCCTTCAATCATTCACACAGTGCCTGTTGCAGCAACCGTATTAGTGCCCTCACACATGCTGCCATGCATGTATGATTACCTGCTGACTGGGCTTGTTCATGGTGATGATCAGGTCCAGCTCCATCATGACAACAGAAGGGAAACGAATCATCATCAGGGATTTATGCTTGACACATGCAGTGCGTGGTTCTGTTAGGTGATGCAGATGCTGCTGGATGGAGTTGTGGCGGATGTTACAAAACTCTGGAACAAAAGAATCAGCTGGCCCGCAGCTGGCCATGCATATGCTGCATTGGGACAAAGCAGAGCAAACGGGAAGTACATCCAGAGTGGAAGACACAAGCCACCCATCAGACAGAATTGGACGAGTGCAGGACAAACGTGTGGTCATCGCAGCTTCCCCTACCTGCTGGTGAAGTAGGGAAAGCAGTTTTAGCTACCACTGCAGCCAAATTCAGAACAGTTGTGACAGATCACCAAAGTGAGACAGAGGTCTTTCGGATGGTTTCTTAAATCTTCCAGCCAGAACCTTGCTGAGCACAAGGTCTGCATGCACGCACGGAAGGCAGGATAGCTCAGCATGTGCAGTTCGACTGCAGCCTGCTGGCTGTGGAAGGAGCGAGTAACCCCCCACATATACGTACATATGCGTGCATACGTAACTGGCCAGCCACGTGGCTTTGGGTTTGAACCCTGAAACCGAAACCCTGCAGGCACATTCCACCACCAGGTCACAGAATCCCTGTGTACGTGATGAACCCTATGCATGCATACACAGGCGCCTATTTTCCAGCATTCCTATATGCATCGATAACATGCACCCTCGTCCTTGGTAGCATGAGAACTTGTTGGCCCTCATCAGTATCGAACTGATAACCTTGGCGTTATTAGCACCACGCTCTAACCAACTGAGCTAGAAGGCCTGGCACCTGTCAGTTGCCATGCAGTCGCGATGACTGGGGTCTGGAACCCTACTGGTGTGAGGCAAGAACGAACATCATGGTACAAGCGTCCTGAGATAGATGGACAGACTGCGGGCATAAAAGTCTTATCTGACTACTCCCAATCTATCGGAGGGTGACGCCTTATCCATTAGGCCACTCGGCCATCACGCAGTATGATGCTGTGATGAGCGACCAAGATGGGACTCGAACCCAAAATCTTCACCTAAATCCCGGGAGCGCAGCTATATCTCACTAAAAGATGACTTTTTAAAGTGTTCAAGGCATCCATATCGGATATCCAGCTCCTTCAATCATTCACACAGTGCCTGTTGCAGCAACCGTATTAGTGCCCTCACACATGCTGCCATGCATGTATGATTACCTGCTGACTGGGCTTGTTCATGGTGATGATCAGGTCCAGCTCCATCATGACAACAGAAGGGAAACGAATCATCATCAGGGATTTATGCTTGACACATGCAGTGCGTGGTTCTGGTAGGTGATGCAGATGCTGCTGGATGGAGTTGTGACGGATGTTACAAAACTCTGGAACAAAAGAATCAGCTGGCCCGCAGCTGGCCATGCATATGCTGCATTGGGACAAAGCAGAGCAAACGGGAAGCACATCCAGAGTGGAAGACATAAGCCACCCATCAGACAGAATTGGACGAGTGCAGGACAAACGTGTGGTCATCGCAGCTTCCCCTGCCTGCTGGTGAAGTAGGGAAAGCAGTGCTTTTAGCTACCACTGCAGCCAAATTCAGAACAGTTGTGACAGATCACCAAAGTGAGACAGAGGTCTTTCGGATGGTTTCTTAAATCTTCCAGCCAGAACCTTGCTGAGCACAAGGTCTGCATGCACGCACGGAAGGCAGGATAGCTCAGCATGTGCAGTTCGACTGCAGCCTGCTGGCTGTGGAAGGAGTAACCCCCCACATATATGTACATATGCGTGCATACGTAACTGGCCAGCCACGCGGCGTGGCTTTGGGTTTGAACCCTGAAACCGAAACCCTGCAGGCACATTCCACCACCAGGTCACAGAATCCCTGTGTACGTGATGAACCCTATGCATGCATGAGTGCAGGACAAACGTGTGGTCATCGCAGCTTCCCCTACCTGCTGGTGAAGTAGGGAAAGCAGTGCTTTTAGCTACCACTGCAGCCAAATTCAGAACAGTAGTTGTGACAGATCACCAAAGTGAGACAGAGGTCTTTATTTCGCTCGGATGATTTCTTTTATCTTCCGGCCAGAACCTTGCTGAATTTTATTTGGTGAATTTTATTTTATTTGGTATCCGATATATATGTAGATGTAGCCCTCAAGGTCCGGAGGGACGGGCTCTGCACTCGTGCTGCCTTAGCCGCTAAAACGTTCCGCCACCCCAATATATATTGACACCCGCTTCACGCGTCCTGTTGTGCTCCGGCGGGTGGGGGCGGTTGCTCATGTATGTCTGGTATGGCCGGAGGGCCTGTTTGACGCTGACAATACCTCGCAATCAGCACAATTTTTTTGAGTGAGGCATATATCGCATATTACCGCGGCTGACTACTTCGGTTTGGCGCAGGTTTGGCGCAGGTATTTGCGTCGTTTGCGTCGTTTGCGTCTGGGCCCTAGGAGGTCGGACAGACTGTACGGCACGAGTCATGGCAGACTCAAGAGAGTGACCAGGGAGACTCAGTAAGTGTTGCATGGACTCCATCCGCCGAGTTAGGCTCCAACACGACCAGTGGGGCACGGGCCAGCTTGTACGTCTTCGTGCCGCGCTGACGGAAGCCCAGCGTGGGAGCGGCCTCTGAGCCCCACAGCCAGGGCGGAGGCAGCGGAAAACCGGTGTAGAGCCGATCCGGCTGCGTCGGGTCGACAAAGTCACCCAGGCCCAACTTGCCGATGTCGTGACCCCGGAACGCAGTCTGCCACAGCAGCAAGACGCACAAGAGGTCCCGCAGCAGCACAATCCGCTCCAGGGAGCTTCGGCCACCGCACCCCACAGGTAGGCCACCAGCGCCCGGTACTTGGTGTACGTCATGAGCACCGCCGACACCTCGGATACCCCCGCGAGCACCCGGGTACATTGGTAGGCGGCCCGAAAGTCATCCACCCAGATACAGTCGCAAGGGTTGCCCTGCCCAGTGTACGAGTTGTATGGGCCGGTGCGCCCGGCCCGGTCGAAGAAGCCGCTGAGAGCCGACAGGCAGCCCTTGACGGCGGAGGGGCCCACCTCGCCGCCACCCCGACCGCGGTGGTGCGGCAACCACCAGGTTACCATGTACACCAGCACGTCGTCGGGAGTGCAGTCCCCCCACGACCGGCCGCGCCAGCAGCGGGCGAGCCAGTCCAGGAACTCTGCGGTAGAGGCGTCCTGCCGCTCCACAGTCTTGCTCGCCAAGGCCCCCAGGAGCACCAGGTTCACGACCGCCAGCCCCTGCTGATAAGTAGTGGCCTGCTCGGCGAGTGGGGTAGGCGGGGTTGCCCGGAGCCGTCCGGAGATCCGAGCCAAGCGACCACTCGCCACACCCAAGGGCGGCACCCCCTGCGCAGAGTGGTGGGCGGGCCGACGACGAAGGGTTAAGGACGTGAAGGAAGGCGGGACGCGGACTGGCGGCAACCGTGTACGGAAGACCCGCCGACTCGCGACACCCGGTCCCTCCTAAAGCCGCTTCGCACCTGCCCAGCGAGGCCCGGTTGCGGGAAACCGACAGAGAAGCCCAGATTGGGCGGGGAGAAGAAGGGGGCGCCCATCAATCGGACCGGCGGCATGGCGGACAGGGACCCCTGCACGAGCAGGACAGGAGCGAGGAGCAGTTAGCTCCGGAGCGAGACAGGGAAGCCGGCCCGCGGACAGCCCTTCAAACGGCAGGCGGGGAAATGGGGTGCCGAGACGCGAAGTGGCGACGAGGCCAAGTTTACGGACGCACGATGCTCACCGGAAGGGAGGGCCCCGAGGCAGGGACGGAGCCAGACACACCCAGGAAGGGGCCGACGAGGGGGACTGAGCTCGGGGGCACAAGCGGCCCGAAGTTGACGCCGAGGGCCTGCGGCCGAGCACGAAGTGAGGTCGGACCAGATGGACGAGGTACCGCCCCGGCCCAACGTAGGCAGACGCACCGGTGGTTGGAGCGGCGACACCCCGGTGGAGAAACCGGGCCAGCTGCCGACGGAGAAGGGCGCCTGCGGCAACACATCGGACCCTAAATCACTAACGGTCCAGTGGGCAGAGCGGTGCGCAAGCAACTAAGGCGTACCTGCAGAGGAGACAGAGGCGGGAAGCAAATAGCGCCCGCCGAGGCAGGCACACCGGCAGACGGGAGAACCTGCGAAACCATCAGGCAACCACCACGCGGCCGCCCGACCGGATGCGGAAGAGAGAGACAAGGGGTTGGTGTCGGCTTCCTTGAAGCCGGAAAAAGGGCGGGGCCCCACTAAATCCGTACGGGTTAAGTTGAGCGCTAGGGCGGCGAGGGCGTGAAATGTGAGAGTGTCGACATTCCTGCTGATAGACAGCCAGAGCTTTTTCCCGAAATGCCTGCTAGCCGAGTCGTTATCAAGGCCTGCCGGCGCCGCGCGAAGCGCGTCATCCCGTCGGGTGCATGAGCGCATGTGCGCATCGACCGAAATACGGCATTTCCAAAGCGAGCGGCGAGGGCGTCAACTGTGAGAGTGTCGCATCGACATTCCTGCTGATAGGTAGCCAGAGCTTTATATCTGAAATGCCTTCGGCTTCAGCAATCCGACCCATGTTTAGCATCGCGCGCCGTCTCGGCACTGTGCAACTCTTCCGGCCAGCGCATTGGCTGAAGTTACTTGACAGTAGACATGGAGTGTATCATTTACACATCACGCAGGCTGACTTGCCAACAGAAGGACACGCAGCGGAACTGTTTGCGAGGGTAGCGACGACGTGCAGTTGCCGATCGCGACGAGAGTGCACTGGCTTCGCTACTGAGGTATTCGCCGTAGAGGAGGCTTGACTGCTATAACATTAGGACAGGGAATGTAGAAGTCCATCCCCTAGGTTGCCGACTGGACTTGTTGGGCGGCCCGCAGAAGACCGCTGCATAGGGCTGCATCGTGCGTGCATCGGCGGCTTGGCGTCCAACAACCAGCAGTTTGCCCCTCATGGTTTGCTCCTTGCAACCTTTGTAATAGCAATATGCGTCAAGACGATCGGACCGGCTAGCAGAGCTGCTGTGGTGTGGTCGCGGGAAGAATGTTCGCAATGCAAACATAGTTTGTTTCCGAAACGAAGATTCATTTCACGCCGTCATGTCAGAATTCCACCTTAAGGAACGATGAATCTTCTGGAATTAATTATAGGCCGAGAGGTGATGGTTTGACCTCGGCCTCGGTCCATGGAGACTGCCAAACTGGTTTGTACTCATGCGATGTTGGGTTCCAATAATAAATTTACCGTGCAATAAAGAATGTAATCTTTTACTTATGCAGCCTTTCCGTTGGCCGAAAGTTATCCAGAACCCAGAACCCACGGACATGGGCAATCCTACAGGGCGGGGCCCCCCTGGGCGCTTCGCGCTGGGGCCCCGCCCAAAAATAGTCGAGTCAGCCACGGCACAGAACGGGATAGCAGAGACGCGCGTGGCCCGACCTACCCGGGCCAAGGAGTCCGGCACGCGAAATGACATGCGTACATCCGGCGCCGACCGAGGCGGACAGGTCACCAATCGCTGGTCCACACGGACTCTTGAGTGAACGAGGCCAGAGTGCTTACGCACCGTTGCTCCGAACCCAAGGCTCTGAGCTTGCTCCATCTTCTGTAATGAATAATTATTGAGCCTATTGAGTGCGGGGCTGGACTCAATCAGTGGGCTGGGGACATAATAGAGTGGGTCGAGTCAATTTAGTGTGGGGCTGGACTCAATGAGTGGGCGGGGACTCGATATAACCCTGAGTGTTTTGCGTCGTTTGCGTCCCTAAGTGGGGCCGCTAGCTAGGGGGATGAGTGGACTGTACGACAA